GCCTCGACGCTGTTGGCCGATGAGTTCTGGGGAAATGGTCCATCGTTGACAGACTGTACTCCAAAGCTTTTACCAGCGAGACTTTGAGAAAACCTTTGTGTGAACAGGTCGAGATCGTTGAAACGAGCATATTGTTCAAGGAACCCGCTCACTCCGATTGTTATGTTGGCCTGGTCGCTAACGTCATAGCCTTGGAAGTTGTATAGGTCTGCGAGACAATCCGGCGTGATCCTTGTGTTACACGTGGCATTAACAGCAGCAAGCTTGGAGAAAGGCGCAATTTCCTGTGTGAGGACTTGGCTATCCTCGGCGCGCATTTGACCGAAGCGAGTAGTAGGTTGGATCATGTCAATGTGGCTGCGAACCTCCACGGGGACAGAGTAGCCCAACGAGCGAGTCCTCTTGACTCCAGGGCGTGCCTGGCTCTGGTAGGTCTTGAACGTGGTGCCCATCATCTGTTCTGCGCGCTTCACAGGAGCGAGAAAGTTGATCCATTCGCCGTCATTCTGGATGTCTCGAGGCTCGACACCGGATTGCTCGAGCCAGTTGAGCACATTTGCAGTTGAGTCGGCTCTTGGCTTGATGAGATCCTTCAGTTCGTCTCGCTTGAGGTGCTGGCCGTAGCGGGGGTGGCTGGGAGTTGAAACCTCCAAGAGCGTCCTCTCAAACAGGTCTGGGTTTGCCTGCGATGATCAGTATTCGACTCTCAATATCTCAACCATGAAAGCCTTCCTGATCTGCTTCGCGATGACTTACCGAGCGTACTGCAATGCGGAAATGGAGCTTGCGCTCGGGCGCTGGAACACCAATCTCGCTCCATCCCTCAGGTACAGTGCTCAGACGTTCGACAACTTCGTTGCCCTCGATGTGAGAAGTACGGGAGGTAGATCCAGCGCTGACACCAGAAATGGCCAGTAGGCCTGTGAAGGCGGCAGTGGTGTACCTCATGCTAGCCGGCGACGTTGATCGTGTGGAACCAGAAGTGGCAGGACAGAAGGAGATGTATGCTCGACCCTGGTTGCTTGGCAGCAAACGAAAGCGACGGATGGGTTGGAAACTGCGATGGTAATCACGGCGGGAGCAGACATATACTGGACTGCCAAGCCGTGGAGATTTAGACACCCAACGTAGTCACCTAGGTGACCTATCGTATCCAGATGTTTCAAATACATGATGCAGGTAGCCTCCGGGATCAACGTGATCGGCTCTTGATTGGAGTGATGGCTGATCACCCCCAGCCGTGTTTAGGTAACAACGTTCTGAAGCACCTTCCCCTTTGCCTCTCGCGGTTGTCTCGAATATAGAAAGTAGGCCGTACCGCTCATCACAGCTTTGGGGATGGGTATCGCTGTTCATTGCAGGGCTCCATGGCCCACGAGTGCGGAACGGCCCAATTTTGTCTAACTCCGTTCCGTTCTGCTAGAAGGAGCACAGATCTGCGCAGCATGCATCCTTTTATGCTCATACCAATAGCCGGCTCATGCATGCAGTGCGCTGATCTCCAGGCTGGCTCAATGCTTACAGGATCTGAACATTGGCGAAAAGAAGCGTGGGCTCATGCATGGTCTCAGTGCTCTTGTCCCGGATAGTGTGCAGCGCAAGAATGCTTGTGAGAGCTTCATGGGATTGGCGGCGGGTCGGCACTGTGACGACTAGTGGCGCTCGAGGGCGGCCCGTGCTGCACCTCAGCCTGCACGCAGCCTGGCCCAACCATCGCAGCGAAGTTGCTCCAGCGAGCATCAAGCAACGAACAGTACGGGCACGATGTCTCAAGACGCATAATGACTGACTTCGTTAATGCGTATTGCACGTTTGCTCTTACAGACAGCTTCCTCTACTGCCCTCCTGCATCCCGAGGTCTACTTCTCTTCGCTAGATTCTACGCGCCCCTCGAACCCACTCTCAAGGATGCCGATGAGATCATCGAGCCGCTGAACGACGAGATCCGTGTGCTGGTGCTCCGCAAGATGCTTGTTGACGTCGTTGACTAGCAGCACAGTCGCAGCTCCCGCACGATGACCAGCCGTCATGTCGTCAATTGAATCGCCAACCATGATCAGACTCTTTCCTCCGTCTTCGTGCATCCAGTCCTTCGCAATGTGCAGAATGCCTGCCGGGTCGGGCTTGGGTGGCCTGAACTCTCGCGTCACGACAGGGCTAAATTTTGATGTTGGCAGAAAAGTAGTGAGCAGATGAGTGACAGGTGCGTCGAAGTTGCGTGTGCAGATGCCCTTCTTGATGCCACGAGAGTCCAGATATTCCATGAGCTCTACGAGCCCGGCCTGCGGCTGTTGGGACTTCATTGCGGTGCGCTCAATGTCCCGGATCTTCTCTTGTGCTTTTTCTTGCTCGCCCTCAGGTAGCGAGTAGATGTGGTCCAGGATGTCCGTCGGTTTTTCGATCCCCAGGGCTGATCGCATCTCTGCGAACATGTAGTTTTGAGGCAGACCTAAGTCATTCAGTACATGAACACAGGTGCACGACATCAGAAAACATACATAACGTGCCGTCGACATCAAACACAATGCCCTTTAGCAGTGGTCTAGTGTCCCCTTCCTTCTTTTTCGCGGGATCCAGTGGTGCGAACCGCCGCGGTCGCACGGGCTGCGACATGCTGTTCACTGATCGTGTCGCACGCAAGCAGATCCGGATGTTGTTAGATCCAGATGGCTTGCAGAGGCCCCTAAGCTGGTTGGAATGTCGTGATATGATGGCATTCATGTTGGTGGGGTTGTACAAGCCGGTCTCATTTTGGAAGTGGGTCCGTTTGCAGCCGCAGCCTTTGCGCGTGGCCTCCTGGGCTAGTTTGGCGGGGATGACGCATCACCACGACTCCCTTCTGTCTTCATACCAGACTTCGACTGCGCGCTCCAGCATCGAAGAGACCACTTACTTGTGCATCAGACTATGAAGTTGGCTACACGATGATGACGTGCTCCAGCCTGGAGGCTGCTCCTATGTGAGGCATGTTTCAACAGTACTACGAGGTCAAGAAAGTGCAGGGAAGGCAAATGTGGTCAAGTCAAACGTCTATTAACTCGATGAGCGAGCTTCTCGTGAATTTGCATCACGTGCGTATCTTGCATTAAGGTCTTGCAGCAACAGTGCAAGTAAAAGGGTTTCTAAAATAAGGTTCTCAAGAAAGGAAGTGCCAAACTGATGATCAACTAGCTGATCGCATTACTGCGCCAGAGACGCTTACAACCAACTATCTAGAACAGGCTCAAGGTAGAGTTGGCCGATGGGCGGATGTTGTAGTACTTGGACTTGGGGTAGTACAGGTTGTTCATGTTCTGGACAAAGTTCTCGGGACCACCAAGCTTCTTGACAACGGTAGAGACGATGCTCTTGTCGCTGGTGGCCGGGAAGTCACCAGATGACTCCCACCACCAAGCACCACCGAGACCCTCATCCATCAAGTAGTCGGTCTTCCAGGAGGCGACCTTGGGTGTGTCGAAAGTGACGAGCTCCTTAGCAATAGGGTCCCAGCTCCAGCTGGCGAGAGTCTCCTTGTCGGTGTAGACCTTGCTGCCGTTCACGGGAAGGACCTTGTAGTCAAGGGTACCAGGCTCCCAGGTTCCTGCAGTAGATCCGTTGAACTTCTGGCCGAGGCCGCGTTGGTCCTTGCTCATGTCGACGACGTTGGCGAATCCGCGACCGTAGAGGGGCATACCGAGCTGGATCTTGGCGGGGGAAGCGATGTTCATCTTGTAGTAATCGATGGCCTGCTTGGTGTTGAAAGGGACGAAAGACTTTGACTTGCTGTTCCAGCCGTTGGTGGACTTGGGGTTGGTGGAGCTGGGGTACACGTTGCTGAGGTGTCCAGTGTAGTTGGAGAAACCTGGGCCCTGGTAGTCGAAGGCCATCAGGTTCCAGTTGTCAACGTAGGGGTCCATCTTGGCAATGGGCATAACGACGAAACGTTCGGGACCAGCTGGGGCGGAAATGCCAAGGTCGAAGTGGTAGCCGGCGGCGTTCACTGCGGAGTAGGCATCGAATGTCTGTTGTGGTGTTAGTCCTGCGATCATTCGAATCGTAATAACATGATTCATACCTTGCGGCAGCGCATGAGGGTGTCGACAAAGTTGTCGCCATCGGTCTCATCCTCTGGGTACTCCCAGTCGATGTCAAGGCCATCGATACCCAAGTCAGCGATCAGCTGGATGGAACTGTCGCAGAACTTCTGTCTGCCCTCAGCAGTGGCAAGAGCAGGCTTGAAGTTGGCCCTGAAGCTCCAGCCTCCGACTGAGAGGATGACCTTCAGGTTGCGGTTCTGCTGCTTGAGCTTGTAAAGCTGGTTGAAGTTACCAAGCAACTGGGTACCGTTGGTGGCAACATCTCCGGGGTAGGGGAACTGAAGATCAGCCCACTCGTCGGTAAGGATGACTTCACCAGTCTGGTTGTTGACGTTGGCGAAACCGTAGTTGACCTTGGTCAATTTGTCGGCGGGGAGGTCGGTGACCATGTGCTTGCGCGCATAGATGGCCCAGTTGACGTAGAAGATACCAGCCTGGTACTGACCACCACCGTAGCCACCACCGTAACCGAGATCACGTGCGTGCGCGTGCTTGTGGCCATGAACGGCTGGAGCAGCCGAGCCTACAGAGGCCAGAGAGAAGAGAGCGGCGGCGTTGGAGAAACGCATGTTGAAAGAGAGGACGGCGAGTAGCCAAAAATGTCAAAAAAGAGGTTGAAGGGAAGCTTGCAGGATGTGCGAGTGATGGATACTGCAACACTCACGAGGATGCAGTCCTTACATACCTCACATATTGGCCACTGCCCTACCTAGTGGTCTTTCGTCGGTGTACGTCGGTGTCCAAGCCCCAAAGCTTAACATTTGGCCGTGGCGTGGACTCGAAACGGCGAACAACTCTCTTTCGCTGTTCATGCCAACGCTCTCCAAGCCAGGTTTCGCAGTGCTCTCCAGAGTATACGGACCGAAGCGATCATGTTCATGGGGTGTGGGTAATTTAACCCAGTCCAAGCGCTGAGTTTATTCGCTAGTCTGTCAGAGTCGGGCCTTCTTGGGCTTCTTCGTTTCGTCTAGAGTGTCCCTTGATCTTTGACAAGGCGCCCGCCTCATCCGATTGCTCCCCTGATCCAAGATGATACTTCGACCGGAGGTTACCGTCACGGCGCATGAACACAATAGGGCTGACGTTGGCGACGGACGTCAGATGTGACCGCGCAATCTAAGTTGGGATCTTGGTCGCTCTAGCTTAGCTTGACAACTCAATTCTCGTCGCCGTTAGGCCTACCCATCGACTTACTTGACGTTTGACTTGCTGAGAGATTTGGTAGTATTCCAATCGGGTTCGCATTGTCGGCGGTGTAATGTAGCCCGATCGCTTGGCTTTGATGCGAATTCACACTGGTCTCAACTCACGGTCGATCTTCCGGCTTCATTTCGATGCTGACAATATCGATTATTCCACCCCACCTTGGTCGCGACGATGTCGAACGTCGAAACGTTCTCGTTCAACTGTCGCGGAGGAAATGTCGGCACTAGAATGCTGTCAGATCCACGGCCCGGTTCGTTCAAATAGACTGCGCGAGTGCGGGCGCTGGCGTCGCCGCGAAGCTGCGCGCACACCGATTCCTGCCCAAGTTCTACCAAGATGCCTTGTCAGTTCGTATGAAGCATCTCAGACTTCTCTTGTGGCGCGATGTTGACATACTCAACTACGTACTGTCTCTTTGCAGTACAATGATCTCCTACATCGCGCGATTAGATCTTTAACATGAGCGCATGCCCAATCTGTCACGAGTCATTTGTGCTTACTTCGATTGCTCATCTTCGCGCTCGAGCCCCAGCAAACCTAATCGTTAGCGTCGATGTTTCCAAATGTGCATGAGCGGCCACGACGTACTAGCAGACAATGCCATTTCGAGAGCGCCAGAACAACGGCCGGGTCATTTTGGCTCTCTCTATACACACCCACAACGTCCTGTCATCGGGCCTACGAACAAGACGAGTAAACGAATGCTCTTCTCACACTGCTCACGGGCGCAATACTCGAAAATTCTGGCTATGCTGAGCTCATGCCAATACGCGATTGAAGAAGATCGAGTGTGTCGTAAATTGACGTCAGAAAGGTGAATATGACGAAAAGCTCACGCTCAATACCTTTGTCCTGCTCTTTCAGTATCGCCTCAGCGTCCTCCTCAAGCAAGGTCATACTGATCGAGTAGTCACTGCGTGGCGCTATTGTTGAAAAGATGGCGCAGTCGTCTTGTTGACTTCTCGTAACTGTGCGACCAACCAGCTTCTCATACCACTGAATGCGGAGGTAAGCATCTGACTCCCTATGACAATTAATTTTCATATCCGAAGGTTCACTGTCTGAAGGACACATACTGCAAGCTTGACGGCCAAGGACAGAATGACCATAGTCTAAACCAGCGCACCTCGACCATCGCGAGACAACGAATCTTACCGCAAAGCCGATAGACGGCAAACGGGATGTTGTAAGTAGCACGTGGTACCAAGACCTGAGAGGCGTTTGATCGTGGGGTGAGACATTGGCGATGTGCTTGACAGTCCCAAACCGCTTGTTGGCTTCCAGTAAGTGAGGCTAAACAGGTGAAAGAGCTGGACAAGGAAACATTACCTGTTCCCTGAGTACTACCTGTTTCTGTAGCTTGGCGCTACACTCACATTGCGGTTTCACGGCGATCGCACTCTTCCGACGAGCTTATTTCGATATCACCGCGACAACCGCGACAACCGCCAGTGATTCAACAGCTCTTTCGCTGGGTACTTTCACAATCTACTCCAACCTACTAGTGGATCCAGAGCTCGACATGAACCGACCGCAACGCTTCAATGTCGCTCTCCAGGTACCCACCAACCTCATAGGTCGGCTCGTGAGTAATTGCCGATGTACGAACTGTATGTGAGACAAACACTGACTTCGTACATCCATCTTTAGGTGAAAGATAGAGTTGCATGCCGCCAGCATACGGAAGTACTGCAAGAGAGACCTCAAGATGCCCGAGCGTGTGCGAGGAAAACTGGATATCGGCGCAATATGCTGAATGCGCTCGTTGCAGCGTGTGCGCAGACAGAAGGCTTTGCTCAGCGCGATGTTGCTTTCAAGATAGTCGAGAAGTTCAGGACTCTGGCGCAGACACTGGATAGGTCCAAGGCTGTCGCATTCACCTTTGGTATCGAAGAAGACGAGGAGATTGCAGCTTTGCCGATCGAGGAGCAAGTTCCTGCGAGTGGGGACTCGTCGCCCGAGCCGCAATCTAGTCCGCTTGAGCTTTCTACGTCAATGCCTGCCCAGAAAGGCGCGTTACACCCTCTCTTGGTCGCGCTCCTTGCCTTCAAACTAGGCGGTCCTATCAACGCAGCCTTTACTGGACACCAACATGAATGGAGGCCCCCAGTCGACACTGCGCGCGATACACCAAGCTTCTATTCTGAGGGTGATGTAGGCGACTTCTTCGAGGATATCCGAATAACGGTAGTATGGGAAATGCGCGATGATAAAGCGACCGGTCCTTCGGGGAAACACAGTGTGTTCCTGACAGGCGATGCCACGCCCCGACCTCTGGAATCGTTGACAGTCCAAAAGCAGGCTGAAGTCAGCTCACCAGTTACTATAATGTACGACTGCGGACACGCGGCGTTATATTACGTCTGCGATGATCCAGACGCGATACGTGAGAGCAAGAGCTTGGATGTCCATCTGAATACCATCTCGGACAAAGACGTCCGCCTCCTGAATGCAGCAACAGGCGACAAGTCTCATGGGAAGCCATCACTAACAGAATTGGTGACCAACTTTCCCATCGAAAATTATGCCAACCACTTTCACGATATCCTTTTCGACAGTGTCTCAATCAACGCCATCTTCACCAAACTTGATATGTTCGACGTACCGCCAGCGCCAGCTCTTGCCCCAGACCGGCAGCATCTGCAAGACAAGCGATTTGACGCATACAAAAAAGACAACTTGGCTCATTTGCCAATTGACATTAAGAGACTGGCGGGCGACGTATATCTAGAAGGCAGCTATCCCACAGCAGCCAGTTTTCTAGATAAGGTCGTTCTGAAAGCACGCCGCGACGTTCATCTGCCTGTTGGGGCCAGCCTTTTTCCACAGTCCCCTATGGAAGAGAACATGGAGTGGGCACGGAGGTCCATTCGAGACCTACGCGAAGATCTGGTGGCGAACCGCGTTGCACACTACGCAACAGCTCTCGTAGATTCTGCGTATGCAACCAGAGATCTGATTTCGACCGCGAATTTGCGCAATTATGCGAAGATGCTGGAGCGGCACTATCTGGAACTCATCGGCATTGGTTTCACAGACGACGCATGCTCGCTTCCGTCAATGGCTGCCTTGGCTTGTGCCTTCGGTAACGCTATCGATGGGCTCAAGGAAGTGCAGATCTTGGCGGAACCATGGATCGAAGAGATGGATCTGCAGGTCTATAGGACGCGCTGTTTGTATCTCTTTTGGTGCGCCGACTGGTTAGTATATTACCTGGTGAAACCAGAACCAGGACCGTTCATGATCATTGATGAGAAGACGGCCATAGCAGGTGCGCAAGGTATGGGACGAGCGGTGCGTCGGATAGCGACTATGCTGTTGCGCAACTGGGTAGCCTGGGGTCTTTTAGTAGAGGGCTTGCCACAAGGAGGTTTCTTCGTCCGAGGATCGTGAGCATAGCTGCCACGATGATTACTCATAGTGTCCAGAGCGGTGGCGGTGAAAAATCTAGGGGTAGATCCGAGATTTGAGGCTATACCTAATTACTTCCCGTGTCCGCCTGGTTCGCGGGCCGTGTGCCTGGGAGCCGGAGTCGTGCTGCAATGAATGTTTTGCGAGTTGACGACTATGTTGATGCTGATGCAATTCAACTGATGCAACAGTCTCTCAGTGCGCGCCTGGAGAGATGGCGATGAGACGGAAAAGGGTTCATGCAGGTGCGGGATGTCGCTGCCGTCACTTTCGGTGACGGGACGCTGGTCGGGCGCTAATCCGGATTCGTCTCTAGAAACCCCTCCGGAAGTCATGCAGCTGTCCTTTCACTCAAACAATTCTCCGTCAATCCTGCGCATCGCTCCAATCCTACGAAGGTCTCACGGTGTGGCTGGTGACATTCCATCAATCGGCGGCCGGCGGCGTGAACGTGCTTTCTGTATCCGCAATGGCGTCTGACCTTTTGCGCCACGCGACAGCGGCGCCACGCGTCTGGACCAGTTGTTTCGTTTCACCATTGATCTAACACGGCAAGACACGAACACCTGACAGTAGTCCAGATTGCCCGCGTGCTGTAGAGTATTCAACTCTGGGTAAGCTGTATGCTTAGTTGCAGTGAGATTCTGCTCAGCGCTACGAGGCTGGCAATCGATTTGACGGAGAATTGTCACAGAGATCGCCCACCACCATCTGCGATTCGGTCACATCCAGATCTCGTTTCATTTATACAAAGCGGAGTAGCCCCAACCGAGGATCCACCTGTTACATGCTGCGAGAACACCGGCGCAGGTGCCATCCGCTTTGTGCCCTCATTTCTCGCAGACCCTAGACCTTTTGCGATGACAAGCCTTGCCCAGCAATGACAAGCTCAAGGAATTTGAGCTTGTCGACGACTCGTGTGAATCCTCCGATGGCTCCACCTATCAATACGTACCACTGTCGATGAAGTCCTGGTATAAAGGGCATGGCGGAACGTCTCTACAGAACCCAACAACTCACTCATTCATTCATTTTCTACACAACAGCCTTACATTCCCTTCAATCATCCCTATTTTCAAGCTACATTCACCATGGTTGCTTTCACACTTACCTCTCTCCTTCTCGGCGCTGGTGCGCTCGTCTCGGCTGCTCCTTCTAGTCTTGACACCCGTGCAAGCTGCACCTTCTCCGATGCTGCTACAGCCATCAAGAACAAGGCTTCCTGCTCTGCTATTGTCATTCAGGGTATGACTGTTCCAGCAGGAACGACCCTTGACTTGACAAAGCTCAAGTCAGGCACCACCGTCACCTTCCAGGGCACCACCACCTTCGGCTACAAGGAGTGGGAGGGCCCTCTCATCTCTGTTTCGGGAACCAACATCAAAGTCATTGGCGCCGCTGGCCATGTCATTGACGCAAATGGTGCTAAGTGGTGGGATGGCAAGGGAAGCAACGGCGGCAAGACGAAGCCCAAGGTATGTCAATACTGATCTTTTGCTGAGTTACAACTGATTTGGCAAGTTCTTCTACGCCCATTCCATGATCTCATCTTCTATCACTGGACTCAACGTCAAGAACACCCCTGTGCAGGGATTCTCCATCAACGGCGCGCAGGACCTCACCCTCGA